ATGGAAGATTCTATTGAGATTGCTATTGAGAAACTGCTTCATGTTACGAAGGATATTGTTCCAAAAGTAATTCTCTTTCTGAACTTGTGATGTGATTTGTTCTTCTTTGCTTTCATGTCTCATTGTTTTCTGGTCCATATCCAGGTTTCCAATGAAGCTGAGCACTGCTTGACTGTTGCGTTGTCTCAGTATGATCCATTCAGATGCTTAAGTGTATGTGTTGTGATATCCTCAATCTCTCTCTCTTAACTATTTTCTGTTTTCCTTCTCTAAAATGAGAGTTCATGTATTTTTTATTTTTTATTTTTCCTGTTACACTTGCATTATTCTGATGCTCATTCACAGGTAATTGTCCCTTTACTGGTTACCGAAGATGAGAAAACTCTTGTAACCTGCATAAACTGTTTAACTAAGGTATTTCCCTTGAACCATTGACTGAAGCTAGAAGGATTAAGTTTTGACTTCTTATGCTAGTCCATACTGTCTGTTTATACTCTTACACTGTTTCATTAAAGTACCAACTGGCAATTTTGTGCTCTAATTAATAATAGATTGTTTGTTTTTTTATCTGTTTTCCACTTCAGCTTGTTGGCCGTCTCTCACAAGAGGAACTGATGGTTCAGTTACCATCATTTTTACCTGCTCTTTTTGAAGCTTTTGGAAACCAGAGTGCAGATGTTCGCAAGGTAATAGGGAGCTATTTGTCCTTGTTTGATAGTTCATACTTACTCTACAAATGTGTTAGATCAGACGATCATATCACAATTAACTGGCCACAATGCTATTTTGTCAAGGATATGATACAAGATGTTGTGATGGAAGAATCTGTTATTGTTTTCTAATTTTTATGTGACATTGGTGTTTGTGGTGCAGACTGTTGTTTTCTGTCTGGTGGATATTTATATCATGCTTGGAAAAGCATTTTTGCCACACTTGGAGGGGCTTAACAGTACACAGCTGCGTCTGGTGACCATTTATGCTAATCGGATATCACAGGCAAGAACAGGTACTGCTATAGATGCTAGCCATGATTAGTTTGGTTTGTTCAGGAAGGAATTGTGGGTTTGTGGCCTTCGCTTATTCATTGTTGTGTGTTTTGTATATTTGTGTGAATGCATTGTGAGAGGGTTCTTTTTTCGTCAGTCTTTTTCTTTTTGATCCCCCGGTATATTATTTCCTTTTTTTTTTTTTTTTTTTGGTGTTAAACCCTCATGTTTGTTTGGTTTGGAGGGAGGAGTGCTTCAGTGGGAAACAAAAATTGAATTGTATTATTTTGCAAATATTGTAATCAATATTTTGAGAAGAGTATTATTAGTCATATGAAAGAAATTTTTTTCCCTGATTTGTGCTTTATTATGGTAATGGAAGATAAATATTCTCTCACTAAACACCTTTTTAAACAAAAGAAATTTCCTCATGGAAGTAATGAAAGAAGGAAGCCTGTAGTTGAATGAGAACCTGAATTTTAACACCTTCACTGCTCCGTGGCTTCCTTTCCTCATGTTCAGCTACAAAAAAAGGAAGTCTGCTTCTGATTCACAAGAAAATGCACGAGTAAATTATTGTTTGATCCTTCTGTTTTTTATGAAATAAACTGCTAATCCCTTTGTTTTTAAAAAATCTAATATTTTAAGTCCCTATGATTTTTAGTAGATTATAAATAAGCCCCTCTAGTTTTGAGAAACAAATTAATAAGTCTCTTGTTTTAACAACTAATTATTTGGTCTCAATTTTTTTTTTTTAAATTTCTTGTAATATAATCCTTTTTAATTAGTTTTGATTTTTTGTTTTGTTTTAAGAAATAGAGAAAGGAAAAAAAAGAGTAGGAAATATGGAAGGATTGATGATAAAAGGTTGTATTTTCTAAATAACTTGATATTAACTTAAACGTAGGTCAATAGCTTAAATTATTAGTTTTTAAAATAAATGAGATTAATTATTTTGTTTTTTAAAATAGAGAGACTAATTTATAATTTACTCCTTTATTTTCATATTTGATACTAACTTGGAATTTGTGTTGGTTTTTTTTTTTTTACAATTAAATTGTTTTTTTTTACCTAAAATATTTTTCAAAATTTTCCATCTTAGAGAATAAACTAAGTTTTTGATCATGGGACTACTGACAATATTTTAAAAAACACAAAGGGACTACCTTGCAAAGTCATCATAAACACAGACTAAATTATAGTTTACTAAAAATGCATCAAAATTCTAAACCCAATCAGTGCTCTCCATCCAAATGTTTGTTTCCAGTTTAGGCATTCTGTTGATCGGTCTCCAAAATATGGTTGCCCACTTCGGGAAGGGTAGAATCCTTCATAAACATTCAATCGATATTTTTCAAGTTCCACCCAGACCCCAAGAGGTCATTCCTCCGCTTTTTGGTCATTTCTGATCCACCTGTCTTAAAATTTGAAACCACTCTCAAAGTAAAAAAAAAAAATTCTAAATGCTGATTCTTGAACTTTTCCCCTTCTGGACATATCAAACCAGTTTAAAGTTCGAACATCCTTACTGGAACAGTGGGGCACAAAGTTCATGATGAGCAAAGCTTTAATTCTTCAGAAACCAGGGGTTATCTTTGAAAGCACAATCCGGCCGAAGCCGAGCAAAAAAGCTTAGCAAACATCTATACAGCAAATCTTTAAAGGCGGATGCCCTAGGATACCTGATCCCAACAATTCTGTTCCCTAGTCGTCTTCAACATTACGTGTTCTTCAACAACGTCCTTCAAGGATGTCGCATGCATTTAAATCGTTAAATGTCGGAAAAGAGCTTCTGAGTCCAAAATTGCCATTTATCAGACAGAAAAACTAACTTTAACCCCATCCCAAGAAACAAATAAGGTACAAACAGCCACTTCTTCACCAATGTTATGACTTCAACAAAAAGGCACAAATTGAAGTGATCTTGTCTTGAGAAAGCTAATTCTTGACATCAACTTTAACTTACACCAACGAACTCTTGTTGATCGTGATGTTACTTTTAAGGAATAAGAGAACAGTCTCCATTAGTGACTAAACAAATAAGGTTACAGCCCTCTCTGCAGAGTGCAGACCTTAAGAGCCACGGAAAAATATGAAGAAACCTGCTAGAAACTGCTATCGGTCTTCCATTAGTGTCTTAGTGACAATGGTGAATTAAATGTGGCCAGAAGCTGTTATCTTTGATGGTGCGTGAACTGCCTCGTAAGTTCTCTTCCTATTAGGAATATGAAGAAAAATCTTTTTAGGTTGCTGGTGACTGGTGAGGCATGCATAAAAAAAGGGAGAAGAAAGAGTCGAGTAGTGCACTGACATCCTCCTATGTAATGCAATGCTGCGCACAATCTCTATTATTCTTGGGAACCACATAGAACTTTTGTGTTTCTTCAGTTCTAGCAGGTCAGAATTTTATAGGATTCATAATAGTAAATTAGTAATGATAGGAAGGTCTACGCTACATGTAACTCATGTTCTATAATCATGATTTTATTGTCGCTGATAGGTTTTACACGTTATGCTTGAGGAAATGATTTGCATATTGGACTAAATACGAATTTTCTTAAGGCATTTGATCAAGAATAATTCATCAGAGTTAAGTTGTCAAGAAATGGGGAAGATAGTTTGTTGTTCATGGATTTTTTTTTCCTCGCTGTCAGATTTTACTGAAAACAAGAAATTTTGGAGTTGTTCATTCCAAAACTGATCTCAGGTTGTTATGTCCTTTTATTGCAAATGTGAAAACTATGTTCTCCTACATTTCAAAACATTTTTTTTGTTGAAAACATGCTTTACTAAGGTAAAATATTATGAATACTGGTCTTTTTTCCCCTTGATGGTCCAAGTTAGTCTTATTAGGGAAGGCTAGAATATGAGACAGGAAATTGGGGAAACTGCAAGGTTAGTAACTGTGAAATCCTGATTATTTTGGAAGTTAACTCTTTTGCTCCTAATCTAATAAATATTGTTTGCTTATGGTGCAAACAATATTTCTAGATGGTTACATTTTATTGTGATAACAGATCCAGATATGCATGAATTCAAATATGGAAGTAACAGAAGGTAGCCAGCTCGTCGAGCATGTGGTGATTTTGCAATTTTATGTGTTTTAATGGAAAAGGTACAATAAATCTGATATACTAATAAAAGAAACAAAAAATCTAGCTCCCAGATTTTCCGAATCCTTCAGCATAGCCACTTTTCCGCGAACCTCGGTTTTTCTGATATGCCTTATTGCCATTGCCTGTACATTTTGCATACCAGAATTCAAGTAGGTGAAATGGTTAGCCTTGCCCTGCCTATATAAGCTATGTGCAGGCACTTGCATTGGCATCAGCACCAGCTTCATTCTCTTAGAAAGCATTTGGATTATAGGTACTTCTCTCTTCTATTTCATTTTCTTTCCCCCTTCATTCTCCTTGAATTTGCTTTTGTACAATCTCCAAACGGGGTGAAAAACAAAGTGTTTTTCTGCTGAAAAATGCTTCTATTCTCGAGGTCTTCCATTTTATAAGCTGTATTTACTGTGTTTTTCTTTCCATGGTTGTAACTGATGAATCTTCTATAACTGTTCTAGAAATAAAGCCAATCCTGTATTACTACTTATGGCATGTGAAAATATGATTTCTTACCCCTTGCCTGAGTCCCAATTTTGTCAATTTCTGATGTCCTCTTCATGCTTGTTACTGTTATCAGCGAGAAGTTAACATGTTTGTGCATAAACTCTGTATATAAATGGAGACAGTTCAATCTTGTTGCTCTTTGTTATTATTTGTTATAGTCTTCACAAGGCTTGCAGATAAAAGCTTGTGAATATAAAAGATTCCAATTAACACGTTGGCTAATATAGACACTGAACCTGTCTATCAGGAATTTATTTACTTGTCCTTTTTTCAGTCACTATAGAAACCTAATTCTACTCGAACTACATACATTTGTGCCAATACTATTGTTAATTGCTCTCAATAAAATGCTGATATTTTTTTTTGTCTTTCTTGTTTTCTTCAGCTTGGAGAAACAATGTCACCTGCAATGAACCCTGTGAGGCCATCAGAAAATCGACACGGAAGGGGACTACCTGCTCTGCAGTTGAAGAACCAGATCAAAGCACTTCTGGTTGACAGCGACAGGTCTTGTCAAATGGCACAGTCTAGCTTTCTTCGATACTATGGTGTCGAGACTCAGACTGCTACCAATGGCCTGTCTGCATATATGCTTGCTTCCAATTCAAGCTTTGACCTCATTATCATTGACATTAGCCTTCCTGTCATGAATGGGCTTGAGGTAACAGAGTTTGATTAAATGATCCCAGTAACCTTAGTTAATTACCTATTAATTCAAACATCTGCTAACTCATACTTCTGATATGTTATATTATCTTTCATGATTTATGATAGGCTATTAGGTATATGCGTGCCCGAGGCGTTACTTGCAAGATTGTAGGCATGGCTGGTTGCTGGTGTGAAATGCATAAGCAAGCAATTCTTGATGCTGGGGCTGACATAGCAATGGAGAAGCCATTATTCCTGGGGACAATGGTGCCGATCCTGAGGGAGCTTGATGGCGAACTTTAAGCATTGTGGATCGGATAGAGGACTGCCAAGTCAATAAAAAAAATGCTACATTTAGAAATTTAAGTTGGTCCTTTCTTTATCCTTTTTCCTGCTTTGTGTCCTCCTTATGAGTCCAATGTTACCGTAAAACATAACAAGTCCATGAAGCTGTGGTAGCAGCAGCAATGTTATCAATAAAGTGGTCCTCTTAACTATTTTCTGCGACTCTTCATGATAAAATCTTAGAAGATTTATGGAAAAAAAAAAAAAAGGAAAACAAAAGAAAACAAAAATAAGATCTACAGTTTCAGAAGGTCTAAATGACGTGATCAAATGGTGAATCTCCCAAAAGTAGAAGTATTTATGATACCATGTAAAGTTAGATAGTTGAGATTGGGTTCCATCCAAAAGACTTAAGTCTTATGGGGGTGACCCCTTCTCAACTTTATATATTATTCATTATTGGTTTAACTATTTAATATGGAATATGTGTTCTAACAGTTTTCTACTAAGATTTTGCTTGTCACTTCCCAGAAAAGCTTCACTTTTAGTTTGCTCGGTTTGGCTGATGTCTTTTTGGTTCTGCTATCGGTTTGTCACTGGCTTTGTGTTTTTGTGCAAGTGATATGCCTTCATCATCATTTATTAGAAATGAAATAATCTCTGATTTAACACACAAAAAAAAGGGACATTGCTTAAGATATTAGAGATCATAAGTCATAACATCATATGGATGTGTGATGTGTGACAGTCAAATTCTTTCAATGGGTTGCAAAGTGAACATCCAACTTAACCTTTGAAAAAGGCTAAAAAATTCAGGGCATCTGTGTCAGTCAGTCTAACCAAAATGTGGCAAATAATATACTTCAAGGGATATGTTTGGTTACATCAATTCTGGTATGCTAATCTTTTATGAGATTTGGTGCTTAATTCATTACCAAAAATCAATCAAACATCTTGCAGTTGCTTAACTTTCAAGTTGTCACCAGAATGGAAGTCTGAAAGCTGCAAACCAATGAGATTTCTGTGAGATTTTGTCTTAATTCATTCCTAAATATTGTTGCTATTTTTTGAAACTGTGCAATTAACGTATCATGACGAAAGAGGATTGGCATTAATAATGCATCTACTACAGTATTGATTAAGTAATATGACAGAGAAGATAATTAATAATGGATTGCTTTTAGCCAACAAGAGCAGATTACATCCCAGATTGTGATTCACATCTGCAAAAGCAAGATGCTAGCATATCTAGTCACAAAGGAAAATAAAAATGACATAGCTTTCGAAATGATGCATCGCAACAATAGCCATTTCAACTTAATCTTTTAACACAAAAATTCGGATATCTTAAAAGTTACAACAACGACTGATTAACTGCAAGAAAAACTAAAGCAGGCTGAAATATTGGTCCAAATCTTTGAGGTGTGTTGTTATCCTTTCTAAGCAAAAAAGTTGAAAGATTCTGTGGAAAGATCTTCATTATTGCCATCCCCAAATAAGGATAAAATCGCAATCTGTAGATCTTGTGATTTTTAACCCAATCCAAGTTTTATACTTTTCATAACTCACAATTATTGGCGAGCATAGGACCTTTTTTTTTTACTGCAATGTTTGCCATGGAAGAAAGGATGCCATTCCCACATATAAGTTACTGTCCTGTATTATCATTGCTGTATCCGTCAGAGAGATCACTTTTTCATCCGAATTCTCCTTTCTCTGGTCAGTTTTTCTTCCTCTCAAGCATCTCCAGGAGCATAATATTGGGTTCCAAGTTCTAAGTTCATTACTGTTTAGTTATATATCAGCATTTCTTTTTTTTTTTTTAAAAAAAAAATTGGCCTTTTCCTTTAAATACATGACATTAATGGAGTCTTGCTAATGCCAAGCCATGTCCAAACCCTCCTATATAAAATAAAACTTAATAGCCTGAGGAGGGGTGAGGGTGTGCAGGGTGCTTACAACTTTTCTGTAGACTGTGAGTAAAAATATTGCAGTCAAGCATGAAGCATACCTTGAAGGGTTTTGTCTTAAGGACCTAGTTGCATGACTCATTGAGTAGATGCATGCATTTAGTTATGACATCACCGTCATTTCCCTTATTTACCAAACAAAAAATCACACACATTGACTGAAGAAACACTAAATGCCATTTGGTTGATTTTTTTTTTTTTTTAAATCCGTCTATTTAAGACTAATAACTTCACATTTAGTTATGTCATCTTGTTCTGTTTGGAACGCAAGGTAGGAGAGTAAGACTAGCAAGGGTTGTAAGAGAAAAAGAATGGGAACAAGCATGAATGGAAGCTGGAAATTGGGAAACAAGATGACAGCACTTGTCGTGGATGATGATTCAATCAACCAAACTATTCACCACAGACTGCTGGAAAAACTTGGAATAGAAAACCAGGTGGCCAGAAATGGGAAGGAAGCTATTGATATTCATTGTTCAGGAAAAAAGTTCGATCTCATTCTGATGGATAGAGACATGCCTATTATGAATGGCATTGAGGTATGTCAACCTTAATCATTCAGCATTCGGTGAAACTAATTTCTAATATCTTTAATTGCTGCAGCTGCAGGATTTAACCAAACAGTACTTCTTTTTTGAATCAAACCGAAGATACTAAAAATTTCTTTTTGTTATTACCATTCCCTACTTTGGTGGCAGGCAACAAGGAAACTCCGTGCTATGGGCATACGTAGCCTGATTGCCGGGGTATCAACACGTTCCCTGAAACAAGAAATACAAGAATTTATGGAAGCTGGACTAGATGATTACCAGGAGAAGCCTTTGACAAGTGCTAAGATCATCTCCATCCTCCATAAGATCGATCACAGCGGCTCAATTTCATTGACTAGGACATAAAAGGACCTACTTTTTTTATGTTAGCCTTTCTACACACGTATATATATGGGCAATATATACATATATGTAATTGTAGATTAGCTTTAGTAGGGACGTTAATCTATGCATAATCTGTTAAGTGCATGTCATTTTGGTGTGAGATTTTAGTTAGTAGTATATGTACTGTCAAGTTCGTGAAGACAGTTTGTAGCAAATGTTGAATGAGATTTTGATTCAGGCCTTTTTTTTTCCTTCTCTGTTTGCTCTCTAAAATTCTTCTTCTCTTTCGGTTCTACCAATTCTACTTGAACCTCCAACGTTTGGAACTTGATTAAAGTAGCATGCATCATATATTCATAGTATATGTATCACGTAACTGTTTTTTTTTACGAATTAATAGACTAAACTGTCAATTAGGATTAGAGTTAGCTGGGCATTAATAGTTGTTATTAGCCTAAACTGACATGGCAATTAATTAGATGAATTACTAGTTACCGTAACTAGAAGATGAGCTAGCATTAATCAGTTAGTCGGTTGATTAGTTAGAATATAAGAGGGAGGAACGAGATTATTATTTTCATTCAATCAGCTATAAACAAGAACTTAAATACGAATTCTCTTCTTCAATCTTCTTCTTATTCTTCACTAAATTTTCTTTAAGATCTTCTTTGTTGAGGAAACCCTTAAAAAATTGGTATTAGAGCATCCGGGACCAAACAAAATAATAACCATGGTGGACAATAAGTAAATGCGAGCACTCAAAGAACATAGCAAAAGGCACGAAGAACAAATCCAGAATATGCATCAAGAGTTTCAAGAGAGCATTGAAGCTATGAAGAAGCAAATGGAAGATCGGGCTTAGCGGACACAATTTCAATTTGAGACTCTTATGAAGACAATCTAAGTCGTGATGGTAGGAAAAAAACCCGAAAAAGAAACAAGGTCTTCTTCGGGGTGAATTCAAGCTTAGAAACCAGCTCATGTTACAACTCATGGTGATCCGCTTCGACTTCGAATTCTTGAAGTCTAGTTACAATTCTTCAATTTCTAAGGTTCAATTGCAACTATTTTGGGGCGAGAATCTATATGGGTGGATACGCAAGTGCATAAATTTTTTTAAGATGAACTTCGTTCATGTCCATTAATGGAATGAGATAGTTTCTATACAATTGGAAGGATGAGCGAAATTTGGTTTGAAGGTTTTATGGTAAGGAGTGATTTAGTAAATTAGGAAGAGTTTGTGAAGGAGTTATATAAGAGGTTTGGTAGTAGGGAGGATATAGTAGAAGAGTTTAATAAGTTGAGTCAAGAGAAAGATGTGGATGAGTATGTTGAAAGGTTTGAAGAGCTTAAATCCTTGATGACTGTGGGCAACCCTCACCTACTAGAATCTTATTTCATCTCTAGCTTTATTAGTGGCCTTAAAGAGGATATTAAACCAATATTAAAGATCTTGAAACCTACCACACTCGATTTAGGCTTTCGATCGGGCAAAATGACAAGAGGAATTAACCACTAATTTGTCTAGGAAAGCTAGACCACCAAAACCTTTCCCTTCTTTTATAACCCCTAAACCATATACAAACCAACTTCACATGCCTTATGTCCTTACCAAACCTTACATACCTATCACCAAAAATGAGCCTTCTACACACCTTTAGCCTCTAAACTCCAACCTACCAAAAACACAATCATAATTTGAGACTTTGTATGATCGGAGATGAAAAATAGGGCTTTGTTTTTAAATATAGGGATAAGTACACACCTAGCTACTATTTAAAAGATCACTGAATGTAATAGAAGAAATGAAGGGGGAGAATGAAGAATTTATGTATGTAGAGGAAGGCCATGAAGAGGATGGTATGATGGATGAGAAGAATTATGAAGAATTAGGGTTATCCTTACATGTTCTAGTTGGAAAATACTCTAACAATGCTATCAAAATTAAAGGCAATTGTAAACATAAAGAGATTATCATCCTAATTGATAATGGAAGCACACACAGTTTCATCGAAGTTAGTGTTATGAAAGAAATTAAAGCTGAGGAAACTACACCACTTTCCGTGATAGTGGCCAATAGTGAAAGGATAAAGTGTCATACTAAAAGTCGAGGGTTAGTTTGGTTCATGCAAGGGCACGAGTTTAAATCTAATTTGAGGGTATTAGCATTAAGAGGTTGTGAGATGGTATTGGGAGTGGATTGTTTGCGAATGTATTCACTAGTATTGTTTGATTTCATTAATGTGAAGTTATCATTTAGGAAGGAAGGTAGAATAATTGAGTTAAAGGAAATGAGTGAAGAAGCTATGTTGTAACTAATCATAACTAATAATGTGCATAAGTCATTAAAGATAGAAGTTTATGGATTGATTGGATAGGTCTTCTCTATTGCAACTTGTGTTACATTAGAGAACGTAACCAACATATAGATAAGAGTTGTATTGCTCAAATTTATAGAGGTATTTGCCAAACCTAAAGCATTACACTATTGATATCGGCTTCATAAGGGGCCGGACAAAAAGTCACCACCTAGTTAATCGAGAAGAACTAGAAAACTCTAAACATACTAGTCTACATAGATATCCGCATAAGGATTCGATTACATATGGAGAAGATATACATCACCATTATCTTATCCTACCTAAGGTAGTTATGGATTGATTGGATAGTTCTTCTCTATTGCAGCTTGTGTTACACTAGAGAACGTAATCAATAAAGAGATAATAGTTGTATTGCTCAAATTTGTAAAGGTATTTGCTAAACCTAAAGCATTACTACTATTGATGCTCGGCTTCACAAGAGGGCTAGACAAAAAGTCGCCACCTAGTTAATCGAGAAGAACTAGAAAACCCTAAACATACTAGTCTACATAGATATCTAGGTAAGGATTTGATTACATATGGAGAAGATATAACATCATCGTATCCTACCTAAGGTAGGCTACATTGTTTGCATGTGAATATAAAATTCTAGTTTTTTTTTATTGTGTTATGCTTCTATAACTATTTAAATGAGTTTATTTTATTAAGATGTGAAAATAGAATAGTTTGAGGATTTGGATTTAAAACAAAGTAGTTTAGGAGATTTAGGCTGGTCTAAGGCCAATACCTCTATCCAAAGGGAAAAGGAGGAGGAAATTGGAATTTTAGCTAGTCTTTAGTGAACATGACTTATTACCAACAAATAGGTGAGTTTCTAAAGATAGATAGTCTTTTATTAGCATGAGTAATGAGTCACTAATAACTTTACTCACACAAATGAGAAACCATGGATGACTTCGAGTGATGAATTTGGAAAGCTACCGACAACTTTATCATACAAGTGAAAGTTACCGACCACCTTATTTGGCTCAAGCAAGGAGTATATAACTACTTTGGAAGCCACCGATAACTTCATCATATAAATACGAAGCCATCGATAGTTTTGTTTCAGAAAAGTAGATAATAAATAAAATAATTTCAAAATTTTTAGCGAGTTTTGTCACATAAGTGCGAACTCCCAATCGGCTTCATTTTGATAAAATAGGAAACAAGCAAAACTATTTTGAAACCATCTACGAGTTCATCATAAAAGTGAAAAGTCACTAATGGCTTTGTTTTAGCATTGTAATCAAGCACGATAAGTCAATCAAACTAACAAACCAAGCATAAATTTCACATTAAGCATAAAGGTGTAAAATAAGAGAACAGGGTAGTTTATCCCTAATGGCCATCACAAGAATATTCACTCTAAGCATATTTAAATTGATAAATATTTTTAAAAAATATAATAGTTTCATTCACATTTTTTAAGTAGTCCAGTCATTTTTTATTACACTTTAAGGAGTGCAGTGGTTTTGGAGTTTTTTTTACCCAAAATGTTATGTAGTTTCGGTGTCCGATTTAGGGGTTCAATTCTATACCCTTCATCTTCGATGATAACCGATTATTTAGTTAGCTAGAAAAGGAAAGAAAATATCTATTGTTAAAATGTCATATGGGTCTTGTCAAAATGATCGAAAGTCTCTTCAAAGTTGATACAAATAGCCAAGGTCATTGCTATCGCCAAAATCACTCGTAAATTGACAAAGTGCCTATAACTCGGAAGAGTTGGCAACAAAGTTGGTGCTATGTTTTTTCTTTAAAAAATCAATACAAATACAATCTATAATATCATATTGTTCCCGCCAAACATAATCCAACAATAAATAATTTTATTTTTTATTTTTTTAGTAACTAATGAGGGATAGAAGGCTGTGAGCAATGGCTAAACTTTAGTCGTCCTATTGGTGTTGTATGGGGTTTGTGTGGGCATGCAGCTAGAGAGGAAGAACTTGCATGCGAGTTATGGGGTTTGGGACGGTTGGTTAACTCAAAGGAGGGGAGTCGGCATCGAGTTTCTCATTGTTCATATCTCTAGATTCTCCAATTGGTGCATCATAGTCATATGAAGTGATGTATGGCTTGTAATCTAACTTATGTATACTAGTATTTTCTCGATCATAGAACCTAAAGTTTATTCCATAATGATAAAGCACAACAAACCCATTCCATGCCAATATCTTTTCTAGAGGTCGATGTAGTAAAATCAACATCAATCTTTGCATTCTTTTCTCCCTAATATGTCGACCAATCGATATCAAACTTTGAAGAAAATGATGAGATTTTTCTAGGGCATTGAACTCTTTTTGTAACCTGAAGATAAGCCACATATCATCACCAATAGTGAAGGGATGGTTCCATTCTCAAGATTTCCCCTAAAACCTCCACATATGGTATATAAGATGATACTATCACTAAGATATCTTTGGGCCAATTTAACCGGGTGACAAAGATATGCTTTTTCATCTCTATATGAACCAAACTCTTTTTTATCATACATATATGCATGCATCTTCTGATTTTTCTACCAATACAGCCTTTAATATTGGAAGTTAAATTAACATTTATTTTTAGAAACAATGCTTGTTTGAGTCACCAAAACCTACTTACGCTTCGGATGGTCGTTGACCTTACCATTTTGATTGTTTTATAGTGCAAAAG